TAAAAAATGATTTATAACCAGTTGATTTTTTTAATGTAGCTTAGTAAATATTACTACAATTAAATGGTTACACTGTCCTACAAATAAAGAGGTACATTTCTCCAGTCCTACACTCAAAAGTTGTCGACTTCACGGTAATACTTTATTCATCAATCACCGGACACCGGCTTAATCTTCTCGAGCATCTTCGTATTGATAATACGCCTAACTTTCCTATTGCGAAAAGTTGCAAAAGTAGTAGCTACTAGAGTGAGCACTAGTGAGCACATGTAAAATACCTTGATTAGGTGATTATGCAAATGTAATTATTAACAGTTAACAGTTAATTTTTCAGGTGAATAATGAGATAATTTTATAAATAATTCAAAATTCGATTTGAGCCACAAAATAAATGGTTTGGTCTTCAGTGTCCCCTTTCTCAAAAATTACTGGCTCATAAAAAACGATTTATAACCAGTTGATTTTTTTACTGTAGTTTGGTAAATATAACTACAATTGAATGGTCACATTGTCCTAAAGAGGTAAGATTTCTCAGCCCTACATTCGAGAATTTCGAAAATAGCCTTATGCATATTATACGTAAATATGTACAGGGCTTTCATTTCAAAACTTGCCACTCACGTTATCTGCGTAAACTATATAACTGAAAAATATTATGCTAAACAATTCTGACAAAACCAACTACCCACGGGGGTTTCTTTTAAGTTAACACAATTAAAATGAAACCATTGTGTTTCACATTCTTCATTATCACACCTGATCATTGGCTGCTGCCCATCGTCCGGTGTGTTACATTTGCACCAACTCACAATGTTTGCTGTTCCACTTTTTGCAGTGAAAAATCTTGCAGTCATCTCGGGAAGTACCACATATTTGTGAAATTTCAGGGCTTTAGGAATATTTTCCGTACAAAAATCATCATTGTAAGGAATTCTTTCTATAAAAATAAGATTTTTTGACCATATGACAAAGTCACAATAACATTTTTTTGTAACGAACATTTGCAACTGTATTTGGAAGTAATAACAATGTTTTTTATCCAGCGTTATTTTTTGATCTTCCTCTTTTATTAAACAGGTATTTTTTCTATTTGTGAATTCTTCAATGGATTTGCATTCCCCAGATAGCAAATAGGGGCATTTAATTTCCACACACCCTTCTCCACAACATTTGCAGGAAACTAGTGCATCTGGGGATGCACCCAACTGAGTATAATCTTCGCAGATGATGAAACCACATTCTTCTACAACAAGATTAACATGCTTACTTCCCATATTAGTTAAATAAGCTTGAAGAGTATGTTTCTCATTTTTCATTCCATAGTCTGTCTGCTTTGAAAAAAATTTAACTTTTTCTGGGTAGCATAAACCTTTTATGGTGGTCAAAGATGGCTTCGTGATTGAACTTCTGCATACAGATTTGAATTTTGAAGCTGTAATTCTTCCAGCTCTATATGTGTACCAGATTTTCGATTCATTTTGTTTTCTTGTCAAGGCTTCTATTCGTGAAATTTCCTCTCTGGTCAAAGCCAAATTCAATTTTTCCGTTACCTTCAAAATTTCTGTGTATTCGTTGCTTGGAAGTTTCATCTCACATAGTTTTCGCAAACTTTCAGGCACTTCTTCTGGCTCGTTTTTGTTTGCCAATTCTGTAGCGAATGGTTCCATCACACGGCATATTGCTGGGGAGACACCAGCTCCCATTAACGCCCGAAGAAACTCTTCAGTTTGTTCCTGTGTCATTGGTTGCACATTTCCTTTTTTATACTCTTGGCTTCGTGTCTTGGTCCAACCCATGTCTGAAACTCTTGACATTTCAATGTTTTTTACTGCTGGGACTGGCCATAAGGCTAATTGGGAAGTACAAGCTTGGTCTTGCTTAGGCCTGGACATTAAATAGAATAAAATATTGGCCACATGACTGCACACTTCCCCAAGGCCCGCCATACAAGTACAATGAGCACTTGAAATACTCCCGTCTTGCAGCAGAATGACCCAAGTGTCAAGGGGCTTCTCTCTAAACTTTTGGGAATGCCTGACCTGTAAAAAAAAAAAAATCCTGTGCAGTTCACACCCGGTAGAAGTGAAACCTTCATCGAACTGCATGCATTAAACATACTAACAGTGGCGTCCCTCCCTCCAAAAGACTTGAGAAAGAACGCAAATAAATATAGTTTAAAGAAACTAAAATACACGCTGGGGTGCTTTGTTCCACATTTCTTATACACTGAGCAACCCACGCTTTTTTGAAAATAATTCTAATATTTTTTGTTCATTAATATTTTCTGTTTATATTTAAAATTATTTTTCGCTTTTTAGTTCAATTTACTATAAAAGCGTGTTTTTTAGTTTTTTCAAAATATATTTATTTTTCATTTTTTAGTTCGATGTATTATAAAAGCGTGTCAGCCCCAGAGCTTTCCAGACATTATCCAGACTTATTCAGAGCATTCCAGAGTTTTCCAGATTTCATGCAGATTTATCCAGACTTGTACAGACTGATCCGGATTCTGGAAAATGATCCCCAGGTCTTTTGGGACCTTTTCCAGAATTTTTCCGACCCTTTCAAATAATTTCCAGGCCTTTTCCAGACGTTTGCAGAGATTTCCAGACATTATCCAGACTTATCCAGAGCTTTCCAGAGTTTTCTAGACTTCATCCAGATTAATCCAGACTTGTTCAGACTGATCCGGATTCTGGAAAATGATCCCCAGGTCTTTTGTGACCTTTTTCAGAATTTTTCTAACCCGTTCCAGAAATGTCCAAGTCTTTTCCAGACTTTTCCAGACAATATCCAGACTTATCCAGAGTTTTACAGACTTTATCCAGATTTATCCAGACCTTATCTAGACTTGTACAGACTGATCCGGATTCTGGAAAATGATCCCCAGATCTTTTGGGACCTTTGGCAGAATTTTTCCGACCCTTTCCAGAAATTTCCAGGCTCTTTCCAGACTTTTCCAGACTTCATCCAGATTTATCCAAACTTGTTCCAGCTCACTTGGCTTGTTCCAGGTTCTTGTTGTGTGTTGTGTGGTAATATAAGCGTGTTAAAAAAGTGTTGCTTTTTCGTTTCATAATTAGGGTCGCTTTTTCGTTTCATCGAGTCTCAAATCACTCCCAACGATTCTAAAGAAGTTTTCACTTCAAAAGGGAGATATAAGGATGATGTTCAATGTAAAAGTCTGGCAATATTTCATACCCTTTATAGTCTATTTTTTTGAAAGCTGGTATAATGAAACTGTTTCCTTTTCATTTATTGTGTGTGGTTGAACCTAAGGTTGAACTTACAAGCAAAATATTTCTCACCTTCCGTAAATTAGTTTCTGTCTTGAGCATAGCATTATGAATATTAGGAACTCGATTAGGAATAAGTGTCTTGAAGGGTTGAAACAAAAAACAAATACCTACATAAAAATATGTTTTTCTTGAATTATTCTTTGTATCTTCAACATTCATAGTTAACAAACTAAATTTAATTGATCTTTTTTCTGAAATTCCGAATATTGTCAGTGCTTATATAGAGGCAAAACCTTGGGAGATTTCGTCACTTTGCTACCTGTGAGCCTCAACAATTATCTATTGTTTTGGAGCGGTCAAAAAGTGTTAAGATGGTGAGTGTGCCTTAAGCAGGACTTTTTTTTTGTAGTTTTTGATACTCATGCAATTAAATGGAACTCGAGTCAACCACGTCGAGTCGACGAGTCCGATGCCGTGCGCAGAGTCTCATTTAATTGCATGAGTATCAAAAACTACCGAATGCTCTTCGCCGAGTCGACCAGTCCGAGTCGATTCAGTGCGCGTCCTGCTTTAGGCTACTCCAAAACCAATCAACAGGCAGGTAGAAATATTTGTTGACTGTGTAAGGGATTAAAGTTGGTCGAATATGAATAATTATAGGTATAAGTACCAGCTTTTAAAAAAATATACTATAAACTCAATCAGTCTATTTACTTTTTTTTTCATGTTATCAACTTTAACACAAGCAAGTTAAAAGAGAGGAAAAAATAGAAAATAGACTGTTCAAGGTACATGTTACATTGTTTCTAGCTTACCTTGCTTAGGACAATAAAGCAGTCATTGATTTTCTTAGCAAGCACACTTTGGACAGCTCCAGTTTCAAAATATTTAAAAGCCAATAACCCTTTATACGCCTTCAACTGCAAGCCTGTGTAGTAGCTGTGGGTGTGGGTCAAATATTCGGATAAATCCAAAATTGAAACCTCTGGCAACTCATTGATACTTAAAGTAAACTCATTAGGTAGAAGTTTATAAGGATCTATATTGGCAATTATTTGTATTTTTTGGTCATACCGACATTTCACATCACTAGCTAACGATGAATAATAGTCAATGTTAGCCATTCTACCACAAAAACAACTTAAAACTTATTGAAAGAATTGAAGAACGCAAAAATTCGGAAACACAATCTCAAAGAACGGTGTAAATACTGATCTATAGGCTTTGTTTGCCCCCCAGCTAATATGGCGGACCTGTCAAAAGTCACGTGACCTGGAATGCCTAAATAGTTAGCGTACATGTAAGGTTATATTTGGAAAAATATATATCTATATTTTTATATAACCTGAGCGAGTTTCTCTCCATCAACCCCCAAAGCTACAAACACCCCATGTCACCCCCGTAAAGCGGGCAGTTGTGACATATTATTTTATCAATTTTGGTGCCTGTATTTTTTTATTAGGTCCGAACAAATTAGGTCTTGTCCCCCCTCCAACCCCTGGTTTAAACCATTTATTTGCTGAATTATCTCATGTTTGACTTTGGATAGTGGATAATAACAATAGAAATGAATTCAAAATCCATATGCAATATGCTTGTTTATTTTAGGTTGAGACATTTTTTCTGCTTGTCCACTGGTACCAAAAAAGTTGTTGGATTCGCTTGCTGTTTCGGTACTTGTTTCAGTGTAATGTTCTCCACATAACACAACAAAGAAAGCTTATAACTGAAAAAGTTATCCAATAAATAAAACAAACAATATTTTTATTCAAATATAACAATAATAGTTTATTTATTTATTTAATAATAATTACAAATTTAAAGCATAATATATGTTATTATTATGTATAATATCAAAACTAGGTTTATTTTATACAAATTCAATAAAAATATTGTATAAGCAAAAACTTGTCTCCTGTCCTCCATATTGCTGGGATAGTCAGTTCAATTTTTTTATATAAAATATAAGGATAATGTTGGACAGAAGACGTTCAACAACCATTTATAATTATACATTCGTTTTGGTTTGAAAAAGAGCATTAAAGGTCAAAAAAATAAATAAATACTAAAGCTTAATTTGGTACAATAAATTTGTCTTGGTAAAAAAAGCATTGATTAGCACCATAACATACCTATTTTTTTTTTTACTTATAAACTAATAAATAAAAAAATATATGTATGAATTAGTTATCGTAAAAACAGAATTTTCAGTCTTTATCTTAAGGCACTACTTACAAATTTTTGTATAAAAAATAAATGCAATTTTCACTGGAATGGTTGGTTTGATTTTTTTTCATCAAAAATACTGTTTTTACAAAAATAATGAATTCGAGTAGTTAGTAGAAAAATGTTTTTTAATCACTTATTATTAACGCGCCATAACAACTTTATGAGCTAAATAAATTTATTATCTATAGTGACGCCACCTAACGCCAATCAACTTATTACGTTCGTATGGCAGATTTGGATATGCAGTAGAACTGGGTTATTTATAACGAACGCCTGGTTCTAAGGAAAAATTGACTAACTACAAAATTGCTTTCCATATAAGTAACATTTACAGTGAATGATCGCTTTTAACAAACTATTTTAGCGGAAAACGGGGGCAAACAGCTAATATCAGTAATATATCGCCACACCCGGAGGTGAATGGATCAAAACAAATTTTATAACAATAGTTCACGACAGTGTTGTGACCACTAAGCTTCTATGATATTGACGTTATGACATCAAACTCTCAGTCAACTTCTATTGCTGGAATCTTGAATTCTGACAATAAAAATGAGGAAGACGAAGCAAATGAAGAAGTACCAACTGTTTCAAAGTCACTTTATTTAATGACTCTGGTTTCAATTTTTTTTTGATTAGTTTGAAATATCAACGGATATAAGGATCACCTGGCTCTTCCCTTTAAGTTTGTTATGACAGACTTACTGCTGAGTTACTAAATGTGTCTAAAAAAATTGTTGAAGTAAATTTCATTATTATTAATTCTTACATAATTTTTTGCACACTAATTAAATGTACAAATGGCAAGCTTTTCTTCACCAATAACTCAGGAAATTCCGAGGGAAATTCAAACCATGCATGACAAAATCAGACCCATGATAATTGGCACCCTGAACTTTTTCATGGGTCTTTGCATTTTTGGAAAGAGTTCTATTGTTCTTCGAGGGTTGCAGTAATAGTAAAGTTCTGCAGTAGAAGTAGAAATTTTTTAAAAAACAAAAATAGTGTACTAACTTCATGCCGTACTCTTCATTGATTTTAGAGCAATTGTGATGACATTGCTTGGTCGATGCACTATAATTGTATAGTTCTTGAAAAGTATAAATATAGCCGACATTCTCAATAAGACAGACTTTCCAAAGTAATTTTTTAATAAGAGTATATTAAAATACCGAATGGTTATAGCTTTCAAAAGTAATGTACCTTTTTTGTTGTTTTTATTCAGAACTATAATATCTATATTTTATCAACAACATTAGAACTATAGAGAACTATGTAACTCTATCCAAAAAGGCGTGAAAAAGTTGAGGGTGCTACAATTTGGGGTGTCACTATTCATGGGTGAAAGTCAGATACTCAACAGCAATTGATCCAAAACTAAATTCGTCGCACATCACAAAGCTTCCACCAGATATAAACGCAGTTGGTGTCGTTGATGGCGTGCAACGAATTTTGCTTTGGATCAACTATAGGACGTGAAAAGCCACCACAAAAAAATAAATTCTTCTTACAGCTGCTATTACTATCGAATTTGATTTTGACACATTAGCTAGTCCAAATTATAATTTCAAGTAAGGTAATAATTCAAATATTGTTGGCTAATTGGACATAGTTAGCTGGAAGCATGCCAACTTGGCCTGTTCTTTGAATCTCGCCCGTCATCCAGCCTCTGTCAATGCTGCTTACATTGATAATTAAGTCACCATCTTGGAAACTGACTTCATCTTCATCCTGGGCTTCGTAGTCGTACATTGCTCTAAGAAAATAAAATGTTGAGTTTTCATCTGTTATTTTAATATTTTACTCTATGTGAATTTAATAACATAAGCATGGCATAACTTTTTTTATTTTCAAGATAATTTTGTTTTATTTACAGCTGAATGAACTAGTGCACTTTTAGATTGATGATCGAAACTAATGTCAGTCAAGTGTCGACCTGCTTCGCGGTAGCAAATCTTCAACCGCTTTGGAAAGTTGTGGAATTTAGGGCCGGTTTCTGAATAGCGAGTCACCTCCGGGTTGGTTTTAACTCCAGGGTAAACGTGTCCAGTTACAATGTTTACCCTGGAGTTATGCTTAACATTTTTTATTTTCAAGATAATTCTGTTTTGATTACAGCTGATTGAACTAGTGCACTTTTAGATTTATGATGGAAACTAATGTCAGTCAAGTGTCGCCCTGCTTCGCGGTAGCACTTCGCCAACCGCTTTCGAAAGTTGTGGAATTTAGGGCTGGTTTCTCAATAGCTAGTCACCTCCGGGTTGGTTTCAACTCCAGGGTTAACGTGTCAAATTGCAATGTTTATGGAGTTAGCTTAACCCGGAGCCCGGAGGTGACCTGCTATTAAGAAACCTACAGTAAGAGCTTCGTCGTATCGTGCCATCGTACGACGGATGCATGAAAAAATAAAAATCCGCAATTCGCGGTTATGAGTTAAAGGTAAACGTGTCCTGGGGGGGGTTTATTTGAAACGTGCAATTCAAATACGTCTAAGTCGCAATTTTTGCCGGTATTTCAATGCTACAAAATGCGACTTAGTCAGACGAATTTGAATTGCACATTTCAAATAAACCCCCCCAGTTGCAATGTTTACCTTGGAGTTATGCTAAACCCGGAAGTGACCTGCTATTGAGAAACCGGCCCTCAGAAAACAAGCGTTTCCTTCGCGCCACCTTGTATTAGCAGCCAAATGAGAAGGTTCACCAAGGCACTCAAAAACTGCATGTGCATATAGCATATGGGAGATTATATGATATTACAATTTTTGATTGTATGATTGAATTCTTTAGGCTTTGTTGCAGAGGTTCTAAATTGCAATAGCACCAAGCATAGGACACTTTACACACACAAAACAAAAAACCAAGCTGTAATTAAATTTTAGATTAGAGTATTGTAACGAATTTTTTCTATTTTGGTGTCATATCGAAGTCTTTTCGACACTAAAAGTAGTTTTGAAAAGAAGCTCTTTGTGACACTCCTTTTTTACTTATCGGAAGTTGTTAACACTGGCTGACTGATGGCCATCGCACTGTCATTCGCGATTTTATAGATAAAGCCCCGTTTGCACCGACCATTTTAAGGGAGCCCTAACGATAAGTATTCCTTGAAGTGACATTGCTCCATGTAAAAATGTCATTTTAAGGAATACTTATCGATAAGGCTTCCTTAAAATGGTCGGTGCAAACGGCCATTAATTCTGTTTTAAACCAACACACAAACACACTAGAAAATACTAAAAAAATTAAGGTAATGATCTAATTTACTCAAATTTTATTTAGTTTCAGATTAGCTACACGCTACACATAATGATTAATGAGGTACAATGCTAATTCTATATTCTCCTATATTCTAAAGCTTCGTACAGACTTGAACATTACGCCGAACAACAAACAGAGCAACGAACCGAACCGCAATCAAAACAGTAATTTGGATGGGGGCAGGATTTGCGAACCCATTTGCAAACGCGTTCGTATCCCCGTCCAAATTAGTGTTTCGATTGCCGTTCGGTTCGTTGTTCTGTTTGTTGCTCGGCGTGATGTTCAAGTCTGTACGCAGCTTAAGGCAGAACGTCTCTAACCAGGGTTGGAAAAAACCCAGGTTTTTTTGAAAAAGTCCAACCCATCGGGTTTTTTTGGGCTTACGGTTTAAAGTATTACAAAAATTATGACTTGTTACAAAAATTAAATATCCTTACAAAATAAAACAAGCCATTTGATATAAATAATAGGTCTGTTTCCACAAAAATCACAAACCAGTCAGAGCGTTTTTGATTGGTGCAAATCGCCAACAACCAGTTTTCTGACTATTTTCAACGAATGAAATTCGCTCTGACTGGTTTGTGATTTCTGTGGAAACAGGCCTAATAATTACACTTGGCATCAGTGCACTGAACCACGCCTTTTTTCAAAAAAACCCAAAAAACCCAATAATGGTGGGTTTTATCAATTGAAAAAAAACAAAAAACCCCACTGGGTTTTATCACCTGGGGAAATTCTATGCCAACCCTGTCTCTAACGGTATAACATAACCTTAAAGCATAGACAAGTGATAAACACAACGATAAAAATTATTAATTACAAATTGAATACATTAAATAACATTATTTCTGATGAATCGTGCAGTTGTTATAAACATTAATTGTGACTGAACTATTTTCATGAGCAATTACTTTCATTTCAGGCACGTTGGTCAAATTTTGTTCGCCTCCTTGCCTATTTATGGTAATGTTTTGCGTGTGCTGCTCAGTTCGCTGTGAAGTAGATATGAAACAAATAGGTTAATATGAGTACATTATTTAGTTTATATGGAATATGCCTGTACTTCTTCGTATTACCTGATGTTCAAAGCTTGTACCCTCAATAAATAAACTATCCAAATTCGAAGTGGTAGAAGTACTTGGTAACATTTCAGATACCGAAGCTGTAGAGGCTTCGCATAGCGTCTGTGCTACTTCTATTTTTCTTTTCAAGGATGTTTCTATGTAGCCTTCAGCCACAATGGACGATTTCCACCCTCCATGCCATTTAATGGTAATTAGATCGTTTCCCTTATTTGCCAAATGTGAGATGCTGGAACGCCGGAAACAGTGACCAGTGAAGGTTTGCGGATTTGGCAGATTCAAGAAATTAGCAATAATTTTAGGTATTGCCCCCATTTTATTTATGCCAATAGGGCTATTTACATAGTAGCCATTCCGATATGTCAAAAACAATCTCGTATGAGTTGTGTTTTTCGGCGTCGTACCTATATATTGCTTTATAAGCAATACCCAGAAAGGCTCTGTAACAATAAATAACCTTGGTACTCCATTTTTTGTTTTAGGTATTGTGACAAGAACAGAACCATCTTTAAACTGTAAATCGTCTATTGTCATTTTGACCAGTTCGTCTCGTCGACATGCTCCACTGTACCCCATAATCAGTGCAACCTAAAATATTTTCGATGTAAATTGACATACATATTTATTTCCTTCCTTGTAGGTCCAAGTTATTGGATACTGTCAAAATATAATAAAAAAATAATAATAAATTGCAATGTGTTTGAAAACTAATTGGAGTTTTTACTAGTATTCATTAGGTATTTACCTTTAAAGAGAGGTAAGTATTGTTATCAGCATCCGTTATAAATTTATTAATATGCTCATTTTCCAAAATTTGTGATTTCTTCGGTTCGTAGCCTTCCGAGCACCGTCTTAATAAAGCTTGCAACTTCATGTACTGAGCAATATCTTTATTTTCATGAATGTTTATGCATGCTTTTAATTTAGAATAAATTGACCATAAAGTCCTTTTTTACCTTGCTTTCACTATCAAAATAAGCAATTAAAACATTCTCTGATATGACTTTTACATCATTCAGATTGCACCATCTTTTAAAAACTTCATATTCTTTTTCATGAACCTTTTTAGACTTTTTCGGTAGCAAATTATCTAGGCTACTCTGTGCGAGTTTTCGTAGCTCTGGGAGAGTACAATTTTCCATTTCTCTCTCAAAATCAGTCATTTTCGGTACCTATTTAAATTTAAAATTTAAACTTTAACTACCGACATTTCAAAATTGAATCAATGACGCGCACATAATTGTCATGTTTGGCATGTAGTTTTACCAACCTAAACATATGAAATCAGGAAATATGAGATTTTTTTTTTTTAAATTAAACAATACCTACCAAAATAGAAAAAATAGTATAAAATATTCGTTTCATAAGACATTTTATCGCACGAGCCCTATATTAGAAAACGAGCCGGAGGCGAGTTTTCTAATATAGGGCTCGTGCGATAAAATTACGTCTTATGAAACTTGTATTTTAATGTACTATTTTGTGGCGCCTCCGCCAGGGCGCACAGAATCGGATGGCTGAATTCTAAAACGTACAGAGTTGTTCGGGAAAAAGGGCTAATGCGTTATTCTGGATTTTACAGGGATGGATTACGGATATATAAATGACGGGATTAATTAGTAGTTTAGGTTAAGATAGGCTGTTATACGTTTTATATATTGAATATTGTAGGAGTTAAGTTTAAAAGTTTAAGTTGGTTGAGTTAATTAGTGAAGTAATTAGTGTCAGATTATTGTTTTGTTAATTGGACATTTAGTTTTGAATAAACGGACCCAAGATTTCTGTCACGCACCCCTGAGTCGTGACATTGGTGTCAGAAATGAGATATAATTTGAGGACTAAGCCTTAGTAACGATTTTAACAAATTATCAAATCAAATCAAATAAAAAACTTTACGGAAAATGTTCAAGACCATATGGGCATGGGCAACACCATACATCCCTGATAATATTTTTGAGTACTTTTATAAACATATGAATGCTATCATAGTTTACCATTTACCCTTCTCCATGCATTTTCTTTCCATAGGCATGTCTACAAAGAAAGAATAAGTTGATGCTAAACAATGAAAAATCAAATGCTATTATGTTTAGAACAAAGCAGTCCAACCTACATAAACCAGCCACTGTAGAATGTAGTGATAGGGTTGTAAATATTGTAGATAGTGTTAAGTTCCTGGGGGTAAATATTGATGAATTTATGGATTGGGCAGGGCATATAAACACAGTATTAAAAAGACTATATTTTGTATGTTACGGAATCAGTTGTCCTTATGGACTACAAAACTGTTAGAATTATGTATCAAGCAAACTTTCTATCGGTCCTAAATTATGGAATTATTTTTTGGGGAGGAATGGTGACATTCAAAAGATTTTTGTCGTTCAAAACTGTCTTCTCAGAACTATGAAAAATATGCA